GAATGCCAAAACCCAGAGTGTTTGGCACAGGTAAGACTGAACCATACCCTGGAACTCTGCAGGGTTCTCTTCCTGCAGATTGCCTAGAAAAGCTATTTCAAAGTATTGGTTTCCTGGGAAGAGCCAAGATGTTCTTTGGATTCACTAGACTTCATTGCTCTAGCCAAAGAGAGGAGAGGACAGTGGCTTTTCTGCCTCCAAGAAGTGATCCAAGATCCACTGGACAACCATGAGAGGTTCTTGTATCTGTATCTATTGCATGGATTTCAGCTTTGAGTTTCCTGTGGTTGCTCCATCCGCATGGGAAAGTGGAGGAACTTGGATCTCCAAGTGAGATCCTAGCTATTCAGCATGGTTATGGAAGAAAATATTCCCATGGTGAGAAAGCAAACCTTTTTGTGTTGTCCTGTGGAGTCATTAATTTGTGACTTATCATGGCATGGTGGCTGCTGAAAGCCCTGTGGCTCAGTTACCTTACTATAAATCAGGATTTACACTCTTGGAAAAGAAAATGAAGGAGCTGTGGGCTTGGGCTATCTCTGTAAGTGACGCTCAAGTTCTTCTCCCTTCCCAGGCAAACCCCTGAAGCTGAGCCTGGCCACAGAGGAAATTGCCACCTTCTATGCCAAAATGCTCGATCATGAATATACGACCAAGGAGATCTTCCAGAACAACTTCTTCAGTGACTGGAGGAAGGTATGTTCCCTACAAGGGTTTCCTTGCTGTAGGTCATCTGCATTAAACCTCTCATCCCCAGGCAGATCCAAGGCTGTTGTGTGGATAGAGGGGATGAGGGTTTTTTTTGTCTTTGTTCTTTATTGATAATCATATAATTATGAGATTTTAAATGATATGATTGATTTCCTTGCTTCTTGTGGGTTTGGGCTGGAGCTTGCTGCCTGCAGCATCCTTGAGGGATTCACGTTGGCACTTGTGCTCCCTCTGAGTTTTAGCAGTTCTACCTAAGAAAGCAGCTGCTGTGTCTTGCAAACAGCTTCACAAACAGTTTGGGACATGTGTCCCTCTGAAGGATTAACCTCATGGTCCCACAGCATCACAGCTCAGTTCCCAAATAAAGGCAAGACCCCTACTAGGGCAAGTTTCTGTGTCCCCCATATACCCTTGGTGCTGCTTTTGCAGTCTCTGCAGGCTGCTTGGGGACCACTTGTGTCCACAGCAGAGGTTAGAGGTTGCTCCACCCCAGGGCTGGATGCATTTTCTTCTCTGTGGGTGCAGGCTCAGATTCCTCAAGGTATCCTGGCCTCCTGTTGCATCAGCTTTGTCTGCCCTTGCATGTATAAGGCTTTGAGCTGGATGGTCTAGTGGAAGGTGTCCCTGCCCATGGCAGGGGGCTTAGAGCTAGATGATATTGAAGGTCCCTTCCATCCCAAACCATTCTGTGATTCTATGATGTGGCTAGGATAGCTGGGGTGGCTGCTTCCTTTTGGTTTTTCTGGAGAACTGGCATGTAGGTCTCTATTTCCTTTTCTGGGAAGGAGAGGCATAGGCAGCAGTTCTGTGCCAAGTTGGTTTTGCCCCCTGGCTTTATCAAGCCCCTCTCATCTCTTCCTCAGGAGATGACTTCAGAGGAGAAGAAGATAATCAAGAAACTGGACAAGTGCGACTTCAGGGAGATCCATAAGTACTTTGTGGACAAAAGTGAGGCACGAAAAGCACTCTCCAAAGAGGAGAAGCAGGTGAGGACTGTTTCCTATGATATCTGGGACTGGCTGATATGTTTTGGGACCAAACTGAGATATATTGTCTCCTTTCCTGGTGTTATGTCCTGACCTAGGACCTCTCTGGCCTTTGGACCAGCTCTGTCTCCATGACCATCACACTCCATTACACATATCTGCAGATGTTGCATGTTTCATGGCTTTGCAGGGTACCAGTCATCCTTGGACTGTGGTTTGGGGTCCTGCTCTGTCCAGAGGATGGTGGACCTTGCTAGAGGGACATTCAGGCTTGTTTCACCAGCCTATCATGCTGGGACAGCATCACTGTGAGGGTTTGCAAAGTGGGTGGAGATGAGCCAATTGTTGGGAGTGGACTCGGGTCCGTGTTCACTTCTTCCTGCTACCCTTTGAGCTCTGCTTTCTCCAGGGAAAAAGGTTAGTGATAGGCATGCATGAGTCATTGGTTTTTGGTTTCATCCTGTGGGATGATGATGGCATGGCACTCATTTCAGAAACTGAAGGAGGAGGCGGATAAGATCCAGGAGGAGTATGGGTACTGCATCCTTGATGGGCATCGGGAGAAGATAGGCAACTTCAAAACCGAGCCACCGGGGCTTTTCCGTGGCCGTGGTGACCACCCCAAAATGGGCATGCTGAAAAAGAGGATCATGCCAGAAGATGTTATCATCAACTGCAGCAAGTGAGTTGCCACAGGAGGAGCTGAGCTGATGGGGCTGCTTTTGGGACTGCGGTAAACAGCACACCTCCTCTGCCTGGAGCTGCTCTGGGGTTTTGCTGTCTCCTACAATAACTGCTTTGCACACCCTGAGGCTTGAACTTAACAGAGCCCTTCTAGCACCTCCTGGTCACCTCCAGATGTCTGCTTTGCAGTTATGTCTGACTTCTAGTTTTACCGTGGATGAACAGTGGCCAGGAAGGTGGTCAGCAGCTCCCAGGATGCCCACATCAACTGCAAACACAGCAGTGCTCCTATGGTCTCTTTGAAGAAGGGACATTTCTGTGCTTCTCTTCCAAACAAGCCATTCCTCCTCATTTTATGGGTACCTCATGCTGGCTGGAAGCATTGGGATGCTCCCTGGAAGGAGGAAAAGCAGTGATTGGGTTAAGAGTGTTTGCCCTCTAAGTTATTTAAATTGGATTGGTCTTAAACCACCCATATGAAGACCTTGTGTCCTTCATTCAAAACACTCTGCACCAGCCCAGCAATTCTCTTGTTGTCCCCAGCATCTTAACAATAAAGACCTGATCAAGTTGTGGAGCAATTTTGGGCAGACTGTATGTTTTCTCTAAGTAATGTTACAGTGTGGTGACCATCCTTGGCTTGCTGTGAAGAAGCTGTTGAGCTGACAACCTCTTTATTCTTCATGGTCTGAGGGCTGTAACCCTGCTCTGCCCACAGGGACTCCAAGATCCCCAAGCCACCAGAAGGGCACAAGTGGAAGGAGGTGCGCTTTGACAACACGGTTACCTGGCTGGCCTCATGGACAGAAAACATCCAGAACACTTTGAAATACATCATGCTGAACCCCAGCTCCAAGCTGAAGGTAGGAGTGATGTTGCTCTTCAGGCAGAGCTGTTGCTTTTTGCCAGGTGGAAAGATCAGGGAAAAGCAGAATGGTTTGGGTTGGAAGGGACTTTCAAGATCATCTTGTTCCAATCACTCTGCCATGGGCAGGGACACCTCCCACTAGACCAGGTTGTTCAAAGCCTCATCCAGCCTGGCCTTGAACACCTTCAGGGATGGGGCATCCACAGCTGCTCTGGGCAACCTGTTCCAGTGCCTTACCACCTGCACAGTAAAAAACTTCTTCATAATATCTAATCTAAATCTACCCTCTTTTAGCTTAAACCCATTCCCCTTCATCCTGTCACTCCGCTCCCTGATCAAGAGTGCGTCCCCATCTCTCCTGTAGCCCCCTTTAAGCACTGGAATTCTGCTCCAAGGTCCCCTCCAGAGCCTTCTCCTCTCCAGGCTGAACAACCCCAACTTTCTGTCCTTGTGCAGGAGGTGCTCCAGCACTTGGACTATCTTCATGGCTTTGCTTTGGACTGGCTCTAACAGGTCCATGTCTTTCCTGGGCTGAGGACTCCAGAGCTGGCATGTCAACACACTCTAGATGTGGCATGTCAACAAAAATGTATTTTTTTTCCCCCTCCAAAGAAAAAGGGGGTAAACGAAATTAATTGGTGTGCCATTGGATAGTGAAGGGAAAAGGACAGAGATGATTGTTAAGAATCAAGCTTATCCAGGGGATGCATTGCTACTGGCAGAGCCATCCTTGTGCCATGCTGCTCGTATGTGTCCAGGGAAGGCTGTTGAAAGTGAGGCAGGTGCTCAGAGGGACCAGAGTCTATGGAGTTGAATTCATTTAGGCCAATAAATGGAGAGCAGGGGGAGTTGGGATCACCTGGGCTAGTGGAAGGTGTCTCTGCATAGGTCCTGCAGGGGATTGGAGCTAGATGATTTTTAAGGTCACTTCCAATCCAAACCAATGATTCTATGATCTGTAGTTCCATGCGAGGAGGGAGGGAGAGAGTGAAACACTGTGTAGAGGGTAAGGTGATTTAAAACTCCTTCTAGTCCTCAGAGTAAATGAGGACACTGCATGCAAGTTGGGCACAACTGAGTGACTACATTGTGTCAGTCCCTGTTGGTGGTGTCTAAGCAGCAGTGGCCATGGCCATGCAATACTTGGCTCCTCACTTGCTGTGTGCTGGTTGAGGACATCTCCAGACTATGTGCAGCTCAGACTTGGCCAGGAACCCAGGTCCAAGGCAGCCAGAAGAGGGCACAGAAACCCTATGTGAGCTGTGTCTGCTCTGATTTTTCCACTTCATCAATTTTACTCAAGAAAACAATGGGGTTTGAGCAGTAGTTAGCTGCTGGAGGAATTCCCAGAATAAGGTTTGACTGGTAGTGGTGGAGGGAAGATGGGGCACTGGGTGAAAATGTCTTGGCCTCTCTTTCTAGGGGGAGAAGGATTGGCAGAAGTATGAGGTAGCGCGGCGCTTAAAGGATGTTGTCCACAAAATCCGTGCTCGGTACCGAGCCGACTGGAAGTCCAAGGAGATGAAGAAGCGGCAAATAGCAGTAGCCCTCTACTTCATTGATAAGGTATCTGCAGCCTCACCCTGGCCCCCAAATCCCACATCTCTGTGGAGGTTGGGATTTAGTTTACCTAATCCACTCTCTGTAGTTTGGTTTTTATTTTTTTGTCTGCTAGTTGTACTAGCCAGAGTTGCTCCTCATGAGGCATCTGGAAGTGATCATGGAGGATGGTGACTCCTATCTGCTGATGCTTGTATGAGGATGCAGTTGTGTGGCAGTGCAGGAGCTGTACTGTCCTTCCTGGACTTCACCTGCATGTGTGTCTCTGTGTGATGGCGAAGACCCCAAGGGAGAGCTGGATAACTTTATTCTGGGGGGATATTTCAGGGTTTCCTAGAGCAGTGAAATAATCTCTTGCTGGCTTGCTGGAGGCAGTCACTGCTTGGTTTCCACCAGGGTCCCAACAGCCATTCACTGAGACACCGTCCTGAGAAAACTTTTTTCCCCCCTGCCCTGGTGTCCACATCCACTTTAAGAATGTTGGAAAGGGGAGTTGAGGTGGGCTGGGATGGATGACTTGCTATCTCCTTCCAGCTGGCCCTGCGAGCTGGCAATGAGAAGGAGGAAGGGGAGACTGCAGACACAGTTGGCTGCTGTTCTCTGCGCATCGAGCACATTAAACTTCACCCTGAGCTGGATGGGCAGGAGTATGTGGTGGAGTTTGACTTCCTTGGGAAAGACTCGATCCGTTACTACAACAAAGTGTCGGTGGAGAAGCTGGTGAGTAGAGCAGGAGGGGAGTCAGCAGCCAGCATGGCAATTGGGGTGGCTTGATTGGCTCAGTGGTCATCAATCCCAAGTCTAAAATCCTTTGCAAAGATGCCTTCTGTGCTTTAATACCACAATGTCAGCATGTGTGTGAGATGCAATGGTGCTGGGTGATGAGGACACGTACATGCTGATCCTGGCTTGGAGAAGGGGGAGAAACTTTGGGATAGGGCTTTCAAGGTTGTTCTAGCTCATGAACTATGAGCGAGAAGTTCTGCTGGAGCATCCTTAATTGACTGGTGGGCATTAGGACTTGAACTGTCCTCATTGATATTTTATTTTTTGCTTTTCCCACGGGATAAATTACTTTAATGGTGTTTGTGGGGAAACTGGAGTGCCAGAGATAGCAGAGATGGGGGAAAACAGCCTGTGGTACCAGTGGCGTTGAGGTCTTGGTAGCAGCCCTTGAAGTTGAGAAGGTTGATGGTGTGGTAGGATGTGTACTACGAGTCTGAATTAGAGTCTGTCTGGATGAGGAGGCAGATGGAGATGAGGGAGATGTCTGGGAGCAATTTGCTCCTGGTCCCTGACCAGGGCCATCCTTGCCTCCTCTTTAGGTGTTCAAGAACCTGAAGCTGTTCATGAAGAACAAGGACCCAGGAGATGACCTCTTTGACAGGCTCAGCGTGAGTTGTCACCTCTAAGCTTTTCAGACAGCACTGATGGCCCAGAGGGGTAGAAGTGAACCCATGACACTCCTGCCCAGCCTGCAGCCTCCCAGGCTGTGGTGCTGCATCAATGTCATCCCTTACCCTGGTTTTAACCATCTCCCTCCAGAGACACCACTGTAAGGGTTTGAGCACCCTTTTGGGATGCTGTGTTGTGTTTTTTTTCCATCTTCTTCCTGCACTGGTAACATCTCTGCATGTCTGAATTCAGGCTTGGCAAGAATAACCCTTGTACCTGCTAAGAAAGTGGCTTTCTGCTCCTTCCCTCCTCTAATTCATCTGTTTGGGCTTTTTTTTTTAGCCTACAAAGGTCTGCCCATGCCCATGTTGTTCAGGGCATTGCTGGAGGTCTCAAACCTCAGCTGTTTGACGTGTTTGCACCTTGCTGGGGCTCGGCAAAAGCGTGAGAGGCTGCCGAAGCACAGGGATGCTGCAGGGATGTGCTGCAGCCTTCCCTCCTGAGCTATTCGCCTGCAAAAAATCTCCTCCATTCTCTTCCTCGGTATGGGATGTGGGGTGCTGCCACCCATGCGTCCCCTCTGCCTGCATCCCCTACAAAGCCACTTGACCATCTTTCCTCTGAAGAGGCTGGTCCTCTCTGGTGATATAGGATTTATCTGTGATAGGCTTTCTTGGTACAAGTAAAGCTTCCTCCAAATGCCAGATGAATCTTAGCATCTTCTGTTTACAGTCGAGCTGCAGCCCCATGTGCGCTGTAGAGCAAAGATATTGGGCGTGATATACCCAACATGTGATACTGGATGCAAGATGTGTCCTCTTGGACATAGATGGGCAGAAATTGTTGACCTCCAGAGAGGTTCTTTGGGTTTAGGTAGAATTTGTGCTGGTTTCTGGTAGATGAGGGCCTGACCTCATCTGTCATCTCATAGTGAGATGGATTGGGAACTGGCTGG